GGTGGTAGTGCTCCAATGTACAGAACTCAATAGAGCAGTTATTTGGATAACTAGACACAATTTAATGTCTATCCCATTAAAGCGTTTTACAATCACCTGGAGGAAAATGAACGTGAACCAGCGTTCTTACATTATTTTTGCTCGTGACGGCACTTTTAGGGATCAGAGGAAGCAGTTCCAGGTACTCGTGGAGAACAAGTTTTATGAGTGGCTGATTAATACAGGACATCGCCAACAGCTGGACAGTCTGGTGCCCCCTGCCGCAGGCTCCAAACAAGCAGCAGGATAAGACTCCTACGTGGAAACACTGGTGGGCATTAGAACAAATTATCTTGGGAAAATCTTAGAAGCATGCCAAGAAAACTGTACAGAATATTAGGTTACTGGCCACTGCCACTTTTCCCCCATCACTCCCACCAGCATATACAGACCTGACATACCCATATTTACTGCATTTTACAGTGAGAAGACCAACCAAAATATTCCAAGTGGAGCCTATGGAATACCGGGCAAATATAATGGACAAGTTTTACTCTTTTTGCTTCTTGCCCAATACAGGTTGTACTTCCAAAGATACTACTTTCCCCATTCATAGCTTTTGTTTTCTTTCACCTTTCTAACACATCTTTCATCTTTCCCATCACCCTACACACAGATCAGTTAAGTCAGCGAATTTTTGTTAGTGGCACCTATGAACATTAATAAATTACCAGAATTAATCCAAATGAAGAAGATTTGAATACTGAAGGAGTGTGGATACAGACAAACTTACCAGAACTTAATGTAATCCAAATATAAAATACTCTTTTTAAAATAGAGATTAGTTTGCTTTTCTCTATTCTGAAGTATTTTTAAAGACTAATAACAGAAAAACAGACGGAAGATGTCAATAAATAGTGCACAGAAAAATACAAACACAAAGATACTCACTTTTACTTATAAGTAATTTAAGAGACGTTTTTTCCTCTGTTGGATTGACAAGGATCCAAAGGTGGTATACAACACTAGAAAGACATTTCATTTACCGCTGGAAAACGTGGACATTTGTGCAAACTTTTGGGGGGATAGTTTGACAAAATAAAAATTCTAAATGCGCACAATCTCTGACTTGGCAAGTTCACTTCTTAGAATTTGCCAGTTTAACAATTTCACTGATTAGAATTTATCTTACAGATACATTCATTTATGTAAAGATCTTTTTTAAAAATAAGTTCATTACAGCATTGTTTGAAATAGCTGCAGACTGGAAAACAACCCAGATGCTTTCCAGTAGAGGGCCGGTGCCTAATGAATTGGTTCATCCATGTTCTAGAATGCATCTTTAAAAAGAATGAGGTATAGGGCACCTGGGTGGCTCAGTCAGTTAAGTGTCCGACTCTTGATCTCAGCTCAGGTCTTGATCTCAGGGTCATGAGTTCAAGTCCCACCTTGAGCTCCAAGCTGGGCATGGCACTTACTTAAGGAAAAAAAGAAAAAGAATAAGGTATATCTGTGGGTGCTGATACTGAATCATCTCTAAACTGGGGGGTTGGAGCGGTGAAGGCAGAAGAGGAGGAGTAAAATATTGCCTTGTGTGTTTTCAAAAAAGAAAGGGATTATCACGCATGGTTATGTGCTAATTACATGCCTTAAAAACTTCTGAAAGGGTTTAAAGAAATTACTGAAAGTGTTGTCTTTGAGGAACAAGGCTAGACGTCTAGGGTGAAAGAAAACATTCTTAATTTTTTTTTCATATAGAATTCACATACCGTGAAATTCACCTTTTTAAAGTAAAGGATTCAGTGGCTTTTATTAATACAGGCAACAAGTTTGTGCAACTTTCATCCAGAACATTTTCATCACCGTGAATATAGACCCCGTACACGTTAACAGGCACTCCTTATTCCTCCACCTCCAGTATCTTCTCTCTTCTCCAGCCCCTGGCAACCAGTAAGCTACTTTTTGTCTCTTGATTTGTCAACTCTGGACATATCCTGTAAATGGAATCCTACAACGTGTGACCTCTGTGCCTGGCATCTCTCACTTAACATCGTGATCTTAGGGTCATCTGTGTTGTAGGATGTGTCAGTAGGTCATTCCTTTTTGTGGCTGGATAATATTCCAGTGTCTAGATAAACACAGTGAGGTCTATCTGTTCATCATTCGATCTGAGATTTGAGGCATTTGCCTTCTCAATTGTTTTCAAGTTTATTGTGAATGGTGCTATGTTCCTTTTGTGCACAAGTGTTTTTGTGCATGTGTGTTTTCGGTTCTCTGGTACATACCTAGGAGTAGAATTGCAAGGTCATAGGTTAACCTTTTTAGGAACTGCTGAACTGTTTTCCAAAACTGCAAAAACTTACTCTTTATTGTCTATATGTTGTTTGCATTTTGAAGTATTACTTTTTATAAAAAAAGAATTTTATAGTATTTAATAAATGCTGAGATTAAGAATTGGAAATCTGATAAAATTCCCATTTCCTTTGGAAAGAAGAAGGTAAATCTTAGTTTAGACTAATCCCTATAGACAGCCACTTTTTTCATGTTTGTATATGATTGTCTTTTCTATTAGGAACTAATATGACCCTCAGAAGAATATAATTAACCTTAAACCTTATGTATCTTATCACTCTAAACTGTCATCTGACCTTGATTTATATGATTTTATAAATGCAAGTTTTTTCTTATGTGCACAAAGGCAACAGAAAATTAAGTTATTAATATTTTTCTTTTGTTATCTTCAGGGCTCTGGAAACAGGAGGATGAATGGACGATGGTACATGTCTTGAAACTAAACTGGGAAGATGCTCTTGCTGCTTAAGAGATATTGGGGCTTTTTCCTTCCCATTTAAGACCATTCCTTGATTTCCATTCCACACTCATATGTTATTGCTTATGTTGAATTTTAGATGAACTTCCATCATATAAACATTGTTTATAGAACATCAGGAAGCTCATCTTTGTGTTGCCAAAATGAAGGAGTTGATGAAGGCAGTTTCATCGTATTTACGTTAATATTAAAGTGATGGAGTGTAGATTTGCAAGTAAACTTCACATTTTAATTTGTATGACGAAAGGGTCTCATCCTTTCTAGAGTTAAATAAGAGTTTTATAGTTCTGTGTAACTATTTGAAAGGAAATTGCTACTCCTTTTAAAAAATAATTGGAATGAAAGTATAGTTTGTTGGTGTATAAGTATAGCAGAGATAGTTTTATACAAAGATATTTTAGTCCTTAAAAGTATGAAACAATGAAATTGTGTAAAACCCCTATTTTTCATTTTGTGCTTCCAAGTTTCAATAAGCAAACTCTAAAAAGTAATTTTCTCCTTTTGAGAAAAAGATAGAGCTTTACTTTCAATTTCAGAAAAGGTTTTATGGGGGAGGAAAGAGTTTTTCCTCCATCCTTCTAGGTTCTTTTGGCTAGTTGACTAATTAAATTGACATCAGACGTATTAACAGGAGGAAAACAATTCTAATTACATATCTATGGGAGCCTCCTAAGGACAGGAGCCCCAGGAATAAGTCAGGCGGTTATGGCTACTATGCCACCCTGAGCTAAGGACTGGGTGGGATGTGGGCCTGAGGGGGGGGGGGGGGGGACTTCTCAGGATAAAAAGAGCAGATGTGTGGCGGTTAGATGTTTGTCTTGTCCTACAGATGAGTCATTTAGATTAAAAGTTCTCTCTGGTAGTAGCTCCCATTCTGGGCCAGGCCCCCTGTCTCAATTATTTTAGATAGTTAAGGGAGAGGAAAAGTTTTTCTTGAACCTGCAGGGTCTTGTTTGCCTTCAGCTCCAAATAATCTACATGCTAAAGTAGCACATTTTGGGGTCATGCATTCTGCTCCCTTGCAATTCCCAATGTCATTCTTTGATATGATATCAAAATAAAGTTTACATTTGATTGGGAAAGCTATATTCTTTAAGATAAAGGAAAATAATTATTAAATTATTAAATAATTATTAAATTATTACGTGAATCTGCTGATAAACATTGTTTCGTATGCTCACTGGTCATTAAACTAGTAATTGTATTAAAAAAGGGCTTGATCTTTTCTTTCTAAAGTGGAAATTAACCCTCAGAATGTGTGTTAATTCTAATTGAGGTTCATAGTTTTTATTTTAAGATGGAATTCAAGAGAGAATTCAATAAAGAGACACTGGAGTTTTGGACGCGTGTTTTGGAAATTATTGGTTAATGAAATTCATGGTATTAGATACTTTCTTTCCAGTTTATCAAAGTCAGAAAGCTGAGCACATAACTTGATAATTTGTTTCTCGATAATCTTCATGTCAAGGTACATTTGCTATTTTTGGAATTGACCATAATGTCTTGGGGCATCCCATTTGTTGGTGAGCTTTATTAGTAGAAACAGGAGGAAGATGGGCTTTTGAGAAGAATATACTTGACCAGGAAAATGAAAATGGAGAAGAATTGATTTGTTGTTTCTTTGAATTTACATAAAAGGTAATCTCATTCTAAAAGTCAGAGGTGTAATAGTCGCCAAGAAATGATCTCTAAACAGGTCTCCATATGATATCATGGCAGAAAAATTCCACCTAGCAGGTGGCAGGTTGGGCTTAGCTAAACCTTTGCAGAATCATAATTTCCACAGTAGCTTTCTGTCTCTCAGGCTGTATACCGTAGAGCCCTTTCTTATGGAGTAGAGCTTGTGTGCGTGCCTCGAAAAATTTTCAAACTTAAAGAACAATTGCACGAGTCTGATTCCCCACATACCCCTTGTCCAGATTTGCCACTTGATAATGTGTTACTACATTCACTTTGCCACTCTAGAGAGCAGTAGTATTTTTGCTCAACAATTTGAGAGTAGGTTGCAGACATCTCAAATCTTTACTCCTGAAGACATAAGCGTGTATGTCCTAAAAAGAGACATTCTCCCATGTTGTCGTAGTACAGATTCTTAAATGGAATGAAATCAGGAAATTTTACAGTGGCACAGTATGTAGTCTGTATTAAAATTTTTGCTAATCATCCCAAAAATGTCCATTGTAGTAACAGTTTCAAACACAAGATCATGCATTGCCTTTAGTAGTCATCAAATTTCGTTGCTTTGGAACGTGTTACTTCTATTCAGAATTAGAGGGTGGCCTTTTGACTTTTCTCCTGCAAGCTTTGTTGGAGGAAAAAAAAAAAAAAGACATTGATTTTCTAGCAAGCAGCCACCTTGAAGTCCCCAAATTGCCCAGGTAAGAGGGACTTTTTTGTTTTTAATTTTGAAAACTTTGGCTGGGTTTTGGTGCCTTGACTCAGCAAAGTCTATAATGCAGCAAGGCTTGGTAAGCATTAGA